TATATATATTTTTTTTTTATTCTAAGATGATCACAGTGCTTTTGAGTGCTTTTCGTTCTGATGCCCAGTACATTACGCGAACACGATTGCCTGACAGAGTTACCCATCAATGCCGAGAGATGCAAGAAAGACATCAATAGTCGCAGTTAATGCATGACAGCCCATCCTAGTCATCTCCTGATGCCATGAATGTAATCTAATTGCATGTAAGTGGAATGATCTTCTGATAATTCCGTGACATTTCTTTCATGTGTCATTTCTATAGTACTTTTCTTCATTAGGTTTGCGGGTGAACTGGAGCACATCTCAGCTGGCTTTGGGTGGGAGGCAGAGTAGACTCTGGACTGGTGGCCAGCCAGCATAGACAATGGACCATTCACACTCACTTTCATACTGTTGGACAGTTTTGTCTTCAATTAATCTAACATGCATTTTTTGGGAATCTGGGAGGAATCTGTGATGCCCAAAGAAAACACACACAAGCAGGGCTTTGCAAGACATCAAACCAACAATTCTTGTTCATTTGAAATTTCAACAATAAACAATATTGGAAGAATAGGAACTTTTTTTAAATGTCAGCTATTACTATGATTACATGCATGCCAAAAAAATAGGTCCTTTCATGAATTGAATCATATCTCCTTAATATGTCCCTTTCTTTACTGATTAGCATGGATAAGTTCTTATAGTAGCATGTGATGTCCATTTCGACATAAGTTGAAATGGCGAAATAAAATACGGTTCCTTGCTTTTAAAGTGGGATTCTCACATTTTGCAAAGGCCCAGTTGAAAGATTACCTTGACTGATTATTCTGTGTGGGTAAGACTGATTTTTTTTTTTTTTTGTGCTTGAAAAATGGCTGGTGCCAGCAATTGTAAATCTCAATGGTGTTCAATATTTACATCGCAAATCCTCACATACGTGGTCAACTCCAATTTGGCCAGGTGCCACAGATGGTTACATGAAATGGAACAAAAGCCAATTAGGAAGTGACCTGAAGCTCAAACACTGTTACCGGACACAACTGCCTGTGTTGGGTGTTTGTGTAAAACATTCAGTCATTCAACACAAAAATGACGAGACGAAGGCTTTGCAAGCGCAGTGTTGTTACTTTATAGCCTAGCATCTTTTTATCTTATTACACGACTACTACTCGTAATACAACTACCATATTTTCCGCATTACGAGGCGCACACTTTCCTCAAAATCCAACAGGGTGCCTTATAATCCGATGCACCTCATATATGGATCAATATTCTGATTTCTTGGATGTAGTATTTTAAATGTTCTGTAAAGCACTTTCTTACAGCGGTTGTGAAAGTAAATAAACTAAATAAAGCTGTATTGTATTGTATTATATTCTCTTTAGCGTAGCTCCATCTAGTGGATGCATAACACAACCGCAGCCACTATTGTGTCTTCTATTCTATGCGCCTTATAATGCAGTGCACCCTATAAACCTGTTTTTAAAAAGGCCATTCATTGAAGGTGTGCCTTATAGTCCGAAGTGCCTGATAGTGCGTAAAATACGGTATTTTTGCTTCTCCTCGTTCTTCTTTGTATTTTTATGGCAGTCTGGATGACTTGTGGCACTAGGCTGCCTTTCACAGCTAAGTCTTGTGACTACAACAGATGTCTAGTTTGGGAGAAGATACATATCTTTACGTGTGTGATTTCCTATGTCACTCCACACCGTAAAATTAGCAAGCACACTCTTGCAGATTTTACCCTACAATTGTATGTGTGGGTTCTCTCACATTTTAATATGTGAAAAATCAATATGTGTAGGCCACATCAAGGACTACAACGGTGATTCGCGTATAGAAGTCTGAAAATGCCCATCAGATGAGTCCATCATAAAATAGGACGCAAGGCTGCAAAGTGATCCAACCCGCTCCTGGGTGAACTGTAGAGTGTATCTTCATTTAAGACCTGACATCATGGAGATGTATTTAAGGTGTCCAGTGAAATGCTTGCCTGTCAGATTGCGCCAGCTGGTGCCGCATTTCAATTTGGCACAGACAACGGTGCTAAATTATGTTTGACGGCTGATGCCTGCCTGATTCCTGAGGAGAGTCGAGGGAAGCGGGCCAGATGTAATACTTTCACACATGTATTCAGCTCCTTTCATCTTGTTCCTGCAATACTCTTGTTTATGGTGCCAGAATAAAATAGGCTAGAGTGTGCTCGATTGAATATCTCATTGAGCGGCAAACACCCTCCTTCAACTTCACATGATGCTATTTATACAAAAACAAAGTGGACCAACGCCCGTCGTTTAGAATTGACTGCTTGTATTGTAACTTACACAAAAGAAAAATAGAGAGAACCAAAAAATAGAGAGAACCCAAAAAAAAAACATTTTTTACATTTTTTAACACAGACAAGTCTGTCGTGCTTCCTCCGTAAAGCAATCCCTCTTGACACCACTTGTTGGCTCACACGCAGCAGTGGTTTGTTTGACATAAAAAGCGCTGCACTTGCATACACATACATTGTATTGGAGATGTCCTATTTATTCTATTCATTCAGCCAAGTGATGTAACATAAGTGACACGCTAAGAACCCTTTAAATGAGGTCAGGCTCTTTGTCAAGCTCCTCACGTAATATTGGGTTGGGAAAAAAAAACCTCAGAAGAAGACCTCCTGTCTTTCTTTGTCTTAATTAAGGAATGTTTTACTATTGGCATCCATGTGACGTACTATTTGCTGCTCAATTTGACACTAGCCGGCCACAACGTTCTGACCATTTGCATCATATGATGATATGGATACAAGAGCTGTATCAAATCTCGGCAGAATTTTGTCTTATACAAACTTGAAACGCAACTTGGTTACACAGGTAGCACTGTCAATGCATTTATTTGGAAATTTTGCTGCTTGGTTTGTGCTGAATTGGCTCACTGACTTCTGAAACTGTTTTTGTTCCTTTGTAGCGATTATAGTGTTCATCATGGCTGTGTCTCTTTTTGTTATTGTGTCTTTTGTTCTACCATTAAGTTAATAATCCATCACTCTCTGGAAAAAAATATCTTTGTATGATTCATTTAAATGTATTCCTCAACTTGTCATTTTCATCTCAAAACAAACAGAAAAGGTCTTCACACCTCAATGAATTATAAAGCTCATACATCGAAATCCCATGTGTTAGTTTCAAAGGCAACAGAGTCAAATAATACAAGATGATCTTTTTTGCCCAAGCTTATTACTTTTATTTATTTATTTTTTTGGGGAGAAAATAATTCCCATTTAATCTCACTACGCTGAGCTCGGAACAAAATAAGAAAATAATGGCTTTAAATTCATCAGCTGAGAAGAATACAACTGTGGAGGAGTTAAAACACCGCGCCACACTAATAGTGAAGACTGAGAGGAAAATGTATTAAAATTGAAAGAGAAAGACAGGACTGAGAGAACACGAGAGGAGATGAGAAATGATAGAAGAAATCACAATTCCTGCATGCGTGCGTGCGTGCATGTGTGTTGCCTGAGGAACAGTTGATGGATTTGCTGCTTGACTGCTCACACAGATTGGTGCCTGCTGTGACGGCAGCCTTGGACTGAAATTACACATATACACACACAGACACATACACACTTTTGCTATTTCTGCCCGCGCACGTGTGTGTTTGTGCGTTCTCAAGTTGTGTCAGCGGTTGTGTTGCCTCTAGGAGACCATTTCAAAGGATTGTGGAAGGACGGATGAACCAGCATATGCAGCAGAAAGAGATAATTGAACTGGTTCAAAAGACTGCATTCCAGCAATTAGCACCAGATATGTGATTATAGTTTCTATTAATGCTTAATATTGGTTGAGGCAACGACTGCAAGAAGTGCGTAGTGTGTCATCTGACTGAGTTTTTTTTTCTACTTTACATGGCAAAATACATCCATCCGTCCATTTTCCGATCCGCTTATCCTCACGATGGTCGCGGGGGGTGCTGCAGCCTATCCCAGCCGTCTTCGGGCAGTAGGAGGGGGACACCCTGAACCGGTTGCCAGCCAAATGCAGGACACACTGAGACAAACAACCATCCACCCTCACACTCACACTTAGGGACAATTTTAGAGTGTTCGATCAATCTGCCATGCAATGTGGGAGCAAACCGGAGTACCCGGAGAAAACCCACGCAGGCCTGGGGGAGAACATGCAAACTCCACACATGGAGGCCGGAGCTGGAATTGAACCCGGTACCTCTGCACTGGGAGGTCGACGCGCTCACCAGTCGACCACCGGGCCCTCTTGATGAAGTTTTGTCAAGAAACAGAAAAAGTGCTCCACTTGCTCTGAAAATGTGTTGAAAGCAATTATCACCCCATATGTGATCACATTTTCTATTCATGATTAATATTGATGGGAGGATACTACTGCAAGAAGTGGATAATGTCTAATCCTACTGCGGTTTTTTTTCTACATTGATGAAATCAGAAACGTGAAGAGCTCAAAGAAAACCCAAATCCATATTTCTTTACAGAGAGCGGTTTTAACACTTAACGCTGTTAAGTTAGATGCTATAAATACAGTGCCGGGGGTGTTTATCAAATGGTAAAAAGGTTGAGTGTGTGATGCAATGCAACCGTAATTGTCTTTCGCTATCGGTGACAAATGTTGAGTTTGAAGTTTTCCTGTACTTTTTTTCTCTCACCCTTGAAAATATGAGAACAGCTAAATAAGTGGTGGTTGACATGAGAACGCAGTGGCTCCAAATTTCATCATCATGTGAAGGATGGCAGTAGAAAAGATGACATGAATTGACGGAGTCATTTTCAATGTAGAAATCATTGTGTGAATGACGTAAACAATAATTTCGACTCACTAGCAGAGGTGGTTTATTGAAAACAGGAGAGGGTGAGTGACTCTATTTGTGAATCATGATGTAACCCTGTTAGCAATGTAAGAGGACATGAATGAGCTTTGCTTGTGCCAAGTGAATCAAGTCTATTGTTTTGCTTCTTAGTGACACGTAGATTAAATCTGTCTACTCTCCGTCCTCTAAAGTGGCGCATCAGGGAGCAGCAGTGAATCTGAGAGCAGCTCGGAGTCGGACACGGACGAATCAGAGAGCAGTTCCAGTGACAGCGAATATAACCAGACCACTCGCACCAACTCCCCTGAGGTACCAGGACAAGCATGTGTGTGTTAACACGGGGCTGCAAAAGACACAACAATGCATATTGACAGGCATTGTTCCAGGAACAAACGTGTGACCATGCGTAGCTGGATCTCTTTCTTGTCATGTCCTGACCTATTACCAAATTAATTCATGAAGATGTCATGTTTATTTTATACATAGTACTTTAGTTGGCCCACCTGTCTGCACTGCATCATACTGAGCGCTGATTTTAATATTCCCCACTTACTCAAGTAGCTGACAAGGGTAACCCAAATACAGTATGATGCAATGTAGATAGAGTATTCAACATTACAATCTACAATTGCCTTGATCGACGTATTGCAAAGTCATACACGTCTGATGAACTTTGTAAAGGCATACATTTATATTACATTGTGGAAACATCATGCCTCACAAGAAAAAAAAAACTCCTGTTCGTGTAACATCTTTGGTTCAGTCCAAACATGTAAGATATTATTATATTAGACTGTGACAAAGTAAACAGTCCAGGAACAGACAGCGCCCATGTCACTTCACATCATTTTTCCTTATCACAACGCATCGTGTTATACTTGATCACTTTATCATTATACGTGACGCTACATTATATAGTCGACTTCCCAATTTGCACACAATCTACAATTATTCCCGTGGCATGATCATACTGTTACTTAACACATGCCACCATGCAACACCTCCGCCTTCTGTTTCCTTCGTGTCCTGAACAAACAGAAGACGTGTTTGATATGTCACACCTGTGAAGGGGATGGCTTATCTTGGCAAAGGAAAAGTGCTCACTAACACAAATTTAGAAAGGTTTGTGAACAATATTTGAGAGGTTTATGCCGTTTGTCTACAGAAAAGATTGTCTTTTCCTGTTATTCATATGACTACATGCATCAATATTGATACTGTGACAATCTAATTGAATTATCTATCAATCCATCCATCCAACCATTCATCAATTCATCCGTTCCAATTTTGGTTGAGAATCTCAGGCTTCCTGAGCCATTATTACTGCAAGCAATACTAACTTTTAAATGTGTTTACATTTTCTTTCCAATTATATGTACCTGTATAAAGATACAGATGTGCTGCTACATGTGAAATATTTGTCGCTCTGCAGCGTGAGTTGTCCTCAACTAACAAATGGCAGCTGGACAGCTGGTTGAACAAGGTCCAAGCTCAACCTAAACCTCTGGTGGCCCCACCGCAAGATCATCATGGCGCAGGTTGGTAAATGTGGATACAAATGTAAAAGTGACAATGTCCAATAGGGATTGCTTTAACTCCATTGCTTTAATCTGGAAAGCCTGCGCACTAATGTTCCACTGTCCAGGTTCTGTCACTCAGAATCAGGAAACGTTCTCCCAGTGCAGTGAAGCGGCAGGAGCGGGTGCCGCAGCCAAGACCAAGCCCTGTGGATCCAGTGGCGCTGCTCTTCCCACAGCGGCAGCAGTGGAGCACAAAGATGCCAGGGGAACATTCTGGTATGAACTGTATCTATTTGTTTTGACGTTAAATATATTATGCTGGATATTTGTCAAATTTATTACGGGATTTGTATTTAACTCATCCAATGCCAAGGGCATTTTTTTCATGATTTTAAGAAGGTTTCAGGTACGTCTTTACGTATTTTAGATTTTTTTAAGAAGGGTCTGAAAATGGATGATACTGAATGAGTGAAGGTTTAGTGGCATTCGTGTTTCAAGTTTTCATGCTGTTTCGAAATGATCTACCCAAAGTAAAAGAAATATCAATCATGTTTGTGCCTCACAGCCCAGGCAGGGAGAAAACGAAGGCCAAACTCAGCCAGAAGGCATCAGGGGAGGGTCAGAGGTCAAAGATGAGGCTGTCCCCAGCACTGATATCTGGTCCGGAGGTCACCACACCGAGGAGAATCACGACAGGGAAGAAACAGCCCAGACGGACAGAGAGGTCGAACAGTGTGGAGGATAATCAGAGTCAGACGTGGAGCAGATCAAACCAGCAAAGGTTAGGAAGGAAAGACAGTACACTATCACGGTGGAAAAAATTCGACATGTGTCTTCGTTTTTGACGAATAGTTATTGTTTTGGTAAGGAAAAACACCTACAAAATTAATTTCAAATAGGAATAGCAAAGTCAATAATTTGTCAAACGTCCTGTTCTGGTCCTTGGCCTGCCAACTACAGTATACGGTAACTGAATTGGCATTCATGTTGAGTCACCTTAACTGAATGCCTATAAAGTATTTGACTTTTTACACTTTTTTCTCTCATCTGTTTTGTGAAGATTTTCATCATCAATCACTTTGCAATGAAAACAAGTGTGCTGATGATTCTTAAGCACTCTTTGACCACAATATTAGGAGCAATTGCACAGAATCTATTCATAATTCTCAGTAATAGCCGGTATACATTTAAAAAAGTGAATCTTAATTGTCATTTTTATTGTGTATAACTGCAGACTTGTTGCTCACATGATTTGTTTGGCATGATTTTTTTTACAATGGGTTTGTTGCTTTGACAGTCATGTAGCGCGAGCGCATTAATCGGCTCTCACGATGCAGTGGAAGTACACACGTAAAATACTAAAATCATTTAAAAAAAAAGGTGTTCGTATTTTGTGCTTTAATCCATGAAATGTGACATGAAAACCCCTGTTTTTAAATGCATGTGCTGTTTAAATTTATAGAGCTTTTGCTTTTCATTTGAGCTGCGAACTGGAAACCTCAATAAGTAATTGAAAAAACTAAAAACGAAAAAAACTAAACTAAACTGATGAATAATTCCTATAACCTTTTTGCGTGAAGCGTTCTGTGTATTTCGTTTGCAGCCCGTTCTCACAATTTCTGTCTCGTCAGTAGCCCTGCAGTGAGGGAAAAAGACCTGTACCCTCCTTCCTCCATGGAGCATCAGAACACGTCCAGGCCACGAACCAAGCCCCCGAGTGGGAAAACAGCTCCCAGGAAAGAACCTCACAGTTCCACCAACTCAAACAACACAGTTGTACAACCAGTAGCACTACAGCAAACCACTGTGCCAATACCCACTGTCAGTGTAAACCAGGTTTGTTTTGTGTGCATGTGCGTGTGTGTGTGCGAGTGCGAGTGTGTGTGTGTGTGTGTGTGTGTGTGTGTGTGTGTGTGTGTGTGTCATCATTTTATATCTCTGATGACAACAATGGCAGAAAGAAGTATCAGTTCGCAATATCCAATGAGCGCTTCATTGCCCCCAGATAGCGTTACGATTGTGGATCAATATCTTTTGGTTTTGTAGTGTAACGGAAAGTCAGTGTGAGAAAGAAACAGATGAAGAGATCAACATTTGAGTTTGTAGTTTGGAAAAAAAAATACAAATTCATAGTACTTACAGTAAAATTGTCTATTATTATCCATCTATCCATCCATCCATTTTCCGAGCCGCTTTATCCTGACAAGGGTCGCGGACATGCTGGAGCCCATTCCAGCTGTCTTCGGGCAGTAGGTGGGGGACACCCTGAACTGGCTGCCAGCCAGTCGCATAGATGAACAACCATCCGCGCTCACACTCACACCTAGGGACAATTAAGAGTACTTCATTAACCTGCCATGCATGTTTTTGGAATGTGGGATGAAGCTGGAGTATCCGGAGAAAACTCATACAGACACGGGAGAACATGCAAACTCCCAACAGGAAGGCCGGAGCCCTGCACCCCTCCACTGTGAGGTCGATGTGTTAAACAGTCGACCACCGTGCCACCCCGTTATTATTATTATGATTACAATTCTTATCAATATTAATGTTACTGTTTGTAGACAAATCATAGCAAGCATAGAGATTAAGGTTACATTGTATATCCTCCGGGTTGTGTTGCGGGGTGATGTGGAGCATAAGCAAAAATCTGGAGCATTAAAATAATCAAGTCATGAAAATTCATAAATCTTCTTTATCCCGTCAAGTAATCGTGACTCATCAAAAATCAATACAAGCACCTTTGAAGGAACACAGGCAGTAACGATCATGTTCCACGCCACTGGCGGTGTTGTGATCAAGCTCACCTTTTGGGCTTCGTGTTTGTTGCCTTTGAAAGAGAACATGAGAACACGTGGGAACAATCTGAATAAAAACAGACAGAATGAAAATGAAAATGATATATGACCTCGACAACAAGTAAACAGCAACTGATTTGTCATGCAGAAAAGGAGACAGGCATGACCTTGACATCTTCCACTTTTTCTGAGAAATTTATGATTCAGTTCAACAATCAGAGATTCAAGCCACAAACCTTAATTCATCACATGGCTTTTATGTTTTCCAATAGTGGTTCCCAAGAGAACAAACCAAGTTCGGCAAAGTATTTTTATTTATTCCACTAAAGGCTTGATCTGAGTTCATAAATCTGGCTTTATTCGTTAGGGTTAGAAAGCATGCGCCACCGCCACTTTGCATCCTAGTACTTTAAAAATGAAAAATCCAGAGGGTGTACAAGTGATACATGTCTATAGGAGTTTTGCAAATGGGACACTGATGCAGTTTGTAAAGTCTATCAGATGCTCATGGCAAGATGGTATCGCTGCCTTAATTTGCATGTGACAGACATCATCTTGCATGTGCTGAACTGTGTGACATGTGTGCTGTGAATATCACTGACATTCAAACAATCAAGCCAAAACGTGTTTCTTTTCTCAGATAAGTAAAACACGTCTGTCTTATTTGCATGATATTATCATTATAGTAAGCAGTAAAAATATATACTTAGCTTTCTTTATACAGCAGATGGCATAATTGAATGTTTAAATGCAAACTGAGAGAAACACAAGAGCAGATTTTTTTTTCTGAAATTAAGCGATTTGTAAATTGGATGGGACAGTCGGTGAGCAACATAAATCAATAAAGGCAATAGACTCAATTAATTGTGCGCTCATCATCTATTCATCCATGATCTTTCATGTCGTACTCCGTACACAGTTGTGGGATGCTGAAAACTATTTTAGCAATAAGAATGATCAATCCTGATTCATTTTTCTTTTTTTTTTTTTTTTTTTTTGTCAAAAAACAGGACAAGAGAAAACACAGAGGCCCAAGTAACAAAATCACACCCAAGTCCAGAGAGTTCATCGAAACAGATTCTTCCTCCTCCTCTTCGGAATGCCAGTCGGATTCAGAGGAAGTCATTAAAATCCCAGCTTTGCCGCTTCAGTCAACACGTGCGGCAATTAATGCGCAGCCTCAGTCCAATTCGTCCACCCCCTCTCTTCCCTGTTTTAGCTTGGCCAGCGGTATGGGGAGCCTCGGAGTCGTCGGAGGGAAGGGACTTTGTGCTCGGGATGGTAGCAGTGTGAGCGCCAGTATTAACAGTAGCACTGGTAGCATTAGCAGCAGTGGCACTGGTGGTGGTGGTAGTAGTGGTGGTAGTAGTAGTAGTAGTAGCTGTGACACACGAAGCATCATAAACATAAGTGGTTCATTTGGTTCCTCTGTTCCGGACCCTGGAGGGTTAGGTGGACCGTGCAAGAACCTGGAGTCCATGTCGCCACACTTCATGATGGGACAAGATTTGCCTCTTTCCCCACTCCCGGAATACCAGGAGACTCAGAGTCTATGGGTGAAAATTGACCTGAGCTTACTTAACAGGGTGCCAGGACAGGGATTTGGTCAAATATCTCGGCTGGGGATAATAGAACAGGACGCAGTTGAAGGAAGAGTATGCGAAAGAGCAGGGGAAAGGGTCGTGGTGTCAGACAGAGAGAGACAAAAACAGGGTGACAGAGATTGCCATGGGCTCAGGGAAAGGCCGAAGTTACCGAAAGGGGAGCAGCAGAATGACGAAAATGAGCCATTAGTGCACGACACAGAGAGGCAGTGTGACAGCAGTAGATTAACAGAGAGGGACGGGCAGGCGGACAGAGAGGAGAGAGAAAGGTTCAATTCAGGAGAGAGAGACAAGGTGACGGAAAGAAGCGAAAAGGGATGTCACGGGCTCAGGGTCCTGGACAACCGCCCTGTGCCGGAGAAGAGTCTTCGAAGGCTGCACGGGAGGATGGAAAGAGAAGAGAGTGGAGGAAAACACAGGAGGCTCGCAACAAGCAGCTTGGTGGTCCCCACAGAGAAGCATACCAGCAAGAGCAAGAGAAAACACAAGGTTAAAATTTTTACAATGTCATTCAAAGTTTTTGTCTTGCACACCACCTACACCTACATTTATACAAATAACTGGGCACCCATCACCGTGAGCTACATTCCAGGAAAACTATAGCATGCTCTTTTACTCTTTGATGCACTTTGATTTCTTCTTCCTTTGCAATGTTGTAGATATCACAGACAACACAATTTGATTGGGATTAACAATCACTACAACTGGAATCAAAATCAAATGTTCAAAACCAGGCAGGTGCACTCTCTCTCTCCTTTTATATATACCTTTTTATATATATACAGTATATATATCTATATCTATCAATCGATCAATCAATAGATACACACACACACACACACACACACACAACCATCCATTTTCTTATCTGCTTATCCTTACAAGGGTCGCGGGCGTGCTGGAGCCTATCCCAGCCGTCTTCGGGCAGTAGGCGGGGGACACCCTGAACCGATTGCCAGCCAATCGCAGGGCACACAGAGAGGAACAACCATCTGCGCTTATACTCACGCCTTGGGACAATTTAGTTTGTTCTATTAGCCTGCCATGCATGTTTTTGGAATAACTTTATTATTATATTTAGATTTTTCTCTTCACGAGAAGTGATATAGTGTTTGGTGGAGCATTGCCCTCCCTTGTATCCTCTCTTGACTAGCCGCCATTGCTCCTGGCTATAAATTTACTTCCTCTTGCTCGTGCACAATCCCATTCGCCCTTTCAAACTCATGTTTGTCTTCTTTCTATTCCCAGTTGGACCACATGGAGCCATCCGGTAACAGCAATAAAAAGCTACAATTGGACAAAGACTGTCAGCTCCTTCCACCTTGTATCTCTCCAATACAAAACCACAAAAACAACCCTATGGAGTAAGTACTGACAATGAGCACTTCTCAACCCACCCGCTACACTTCATGAGTCAGTACATACAATACGTACAGTATGTGGAACAATGAAGGGACACGCATTTGCAGAGAGTGAGGGCAAGCTTTGCAAAACTGTCAAAACATCCATTTCCCCTCAATTTTGATCCACAGCCACATTTTCAAACTCATGCCAATTGCTTGCACCCAATTTACCACTCAAGATGATGAAAGTGGAAAGAGGATCCACATTTAAAATGTCCTTAAACCCCTAAATTACAGTGACGTTTAAATTAAATTGAACGTTAGTGAAAGTAACGGGAAGTACAAATTTCGCGGTGACACGAATGACATACGATGTCCTCTTTGTGAATTTCTGACAACAGATGAAGCTGACTGTCTCGTTGCATATAAGTCAACGTGGCGCCGACCGAGATTTACGAAGCATCTCGCCACAATCACAGATTATATGGCAAGGAAGAAGGGAGGGAAAGTTGGGGTGACCTGGAGTTGAACCCTCGACATTGTGCGCCAGACGCCTCAGTGTGCAGATCGCCCGTATTTCACCCAAGAGGCTTTTTATAGGAGCTGTAAACCGGCTGATGTGATTACCCGACTCGGAGCCTTTCCACCATTTTCTAATCTGTGACTTTTGACAGATTATCACCGCTCAGTCGGTGAAATCACGACGCTATAAATGAATGGCTGGAAATCTTGAGGTTTGGAAAAGTGGCGTTGCAAATTTGAAAGCTTCAAGTATCCCTCACTAACTGGCCAAGTAACATTCCAAAAACTGCAGAAGAATATTTGGCTGATATCATGTGTTCATTTTGTGCTTTAACATCGGTAGTCGTCACCCTAAAATATGCATGAGCGCCCTGGAAAGCACACACATACTAGCATTCATTTAGAAACATCACACAAACACATGCATATTAGCGTCGTCATGCACATTGCTCGCATCCATTATTCTGTACTCACGCCTAGCCATGCCACACAGACAAACACACGCGCACACACTCACACGCTCAGCCACTAATTAGTTTTGTCTCCCAGGTTTTGTATATTATCACTAATGTCTAGGCCTGCGGTGCTGTTTTGCGAGCTCAGCAACTCTTGCATTGCATCAACCCCCCCAGAGCTTCGAGTGAGAGGAAAAACATAAAAAAAATATTATCTATGGGCTTGCAAACAATATGAGTCACAGGAGCTCCAATAACAACGGCGGGATGAATCATCTGCGGTCTATCAGGAAAGGAAAGGAAAGGACCACTTACTTTAACTTTCTAAACTAACATTCAACTACAAGTGAAGTCTATCGACATAATACTGGAGACAGCAGAGCACAGAAAGCCACCAGAATGTTGGTGTTGCTGTACACGTTTTGAATAGATCTGGATGAGTTAAAAGTGAAATCACAACTACAGTACATTGATTCAAAAACTGCATTTTTACACAAACACATGATTTTATATGTACTTTTTTATTTTTTTACTTCAATCGAGAAGTACGGAAAAACTCCAAGTGTAAATATAGGGTTGTTTAAGATGATAGGTAGCTTTTCCCCATCTTATTTTGGATCATCCAAAGTTCATTTCTTGTTTCCCAGTTTTCTTTCTTAACCCTTTCGGGGACAGCGGTTAATACAGTGGAAAGCTTATCAGGTTACAGGGTGCATGATAAGGGTTAAATTCATCTATTTCTCCTTTTAATTGAATGTTGCCGTGCACTGAAAAACCCAGCAAAACAGGTTCTTAGGCTGGCCGATACATGTATTGAATGAGTTCAACATCACAAGGAAATCCAAGGTTGGTTGAGCTTGGATGATGGTGTGCACAGTGGAACACAACGGTGTTCATGGTATTGTATGTTGTTACTTTTGGAGGAAGAAAAGAATCATTTTTATGACTCATACGCCTCATATTTGGCTGTTTACTTGAGATTATGAATACACAGCTGTCACATTGCACAAAACTGAAAAAGTGTATTATCCGCAATGGAAAAACGCAAAACGCTCAAAGATTGGGGCGGACATCTCATGAGATTCATTTGTACTTTTATTGCATTTTTAAGTGTGTGTGTGTGTGTGTGTGTGTGTGTGTGTGTGTGTGTGTGTGTGTGTGTGTGTGTGTGTGTGTGTGTGTGTGTGCATGTTCTTTAGATCTCTAAACAGGAAACAGTCCCGGCGGCAAGATGAGAAGCTTCTTCCTCCCCTACTGTCCCCCCTATCTGAAGAACCCCCTCCTAAACGTAACTGTGAGAGCAGTTCATCTCTCAGTCAGGATGGTGGCGCCACTTCAGTGGTACCTTGCCCCATCTCCTCCTCGACACACAGACACAGGAGAGGAGATGGCAGAAGTTTATCACATGCCAGAAATGTTGCCACAAGTGTAAGTCTGTAGCTGTGTTCAATCGATAATGGCCAACATAATTGAAAGTTGTACTGGTAATCAATGTATTGATTCATCACAATATGTAAACAAAGAATGAAAAAAACTTGCATGCCAAACCAAAATGAAATATTCAATATCAAGTATACCCTTTTCCCATAATACCATGGAAGTAGAGCCCATATATTTTTTTAAACATAAGCAAAAATGATTAACCACGATGCATGCTTTCTCTCCCAGTTCCGTGACTATGTTTCATATTTTGAAAGGAATAAGCAGACTTTTGCTTACAAATCATGAACATGAACAGTATCTGTCACTATTTTATCAACGAGGAACATTCACAAGTGTCTGCTACAAACAAGTTACAGTACATTCTCTGGTTGTGTCATTTACTCATAATTAATATGCTCTATATAGTATACATAATAATCAAAAGCCTGTCTTCCACTGACCTCTCTTCTACAGCTAACAGATCATCATAGCAAGAAGTCTTGTGGAGACAGTTTCCACGCCAACGGACAATCCAACTCAGATGCGTGGTCGGAACCACTGACAGATCCTGCGGAACCTCCGAGACCAAGACTGTCCTTTAGTGACACGTATGTACAAGCACAGGGATTGTTACAGTAAATACAAGCCCAACTCAATAATTATGGCTTACATTTAACTTCTTTTGGTTTTGTTTAATTTGTTTCTTGGACTTAATACCGTTTGTTATAAAAATACCCTTTGTTACCAGTGAAATACGTGTCATGTTGATTTTGCTGAAATACAGGAGATACGTTTCATTTCTGCACTAGGTGATTCATGTGATTTTATTGCACCGCTGAGTCTGTTTTGAGTTAAACTCAATCAATCAAATGATGTAGAACAGGGCAGATACTCCTCAGACTTTAACCAATGTAAAAAAAAAAATAAAATAAAAAACCAACAACAACAACAACATATTTTCTCAGGAGTCTAGTCTAACTGTCTTTGACACATAACTTTCTGCATTTAATTATAAAGCACCATCATGTAACCCTACCTGAGTTATATTGGGACCCAATATGGAGGCATTTCTTTCATTTTCACTTTAACATGGAGAGCAGTTTATTTTTGGGCATGAGTGACTTGTCTGGCCTTGCATAGTATTTATGTTCTCTGTACTGTATCCAGTGTCCATAGTGCAGACTACTACATGCAGGAGGCCAAAAGACTAAAGCACAAGGCCGATGCTTTGGTAAGTATATCTGTAATCACTATCAAAGAAAGATCTTACGCAGACACACACACACACACACACACACACACACACACACACACACACACACACACACACACAATGACACTTCCGCAAACTTCTGAATGCCGAAGATCGCTATTCAAAGATGGAAAGAAAATGATTTCAAAACGCACAACGTGAGCTGACCGTACTGGCTTTGAGCTTTGCTTGTCTGTCTTGTTGTTTGTTGCTTCAAGGACTGTATTGTATATTTTGAATTGCTCCATTTTATCCAAGCGAATGTTGCATTCAAGGACGACTGATGCCTGCTATGTTGCACATTATCCAAATAATTATCTAATTGCTGTAAACAATGAAATGAAATGTCATCATTTCTTATTCATCTGATATTTACGTGTCATTTCCTCAGACTTATCTGCGGATATGCGGCTTAGCGGGGGGGATTACTCAGAGCGAAGACTGTCTAACTCAAAGCTGTTTAAACATGTGTAGGTGTCTAATTGTATTTTCCTCCTGCATGCCTTCTCTGTGTGTAGATGGACAAATACGGTAAAGCAGTGAACTACGCAGACGGCGCCCTCTCTTTCATTGAGTGTGGAAATGCGATGGAGCGGGATCCTCTTGAGGCCAAATCGCCATACACGATGTACTCGGAAACCGTCGAGCTAATTAGGTAGGGGTTACACGTAGAGTTAGTATCATATTTTCCGCACTATAAGGCACTTCTGAGTATAAGGCGCACCTACAATGAATATTTATTATATATATAATATATGTAAAACTGTTTTCATACATAGGGAGCACTATAAAGCGCACAGAAGCTACAATAGTGGCTGCGGTTGTGTCATGCATCCACTAGATGGAGCTATGCTAATTGGAATACAATAAAATACAACACGGCTTTACTGATATAGAGCTTTCACAACTGCAGCTGTAACAAAGCACTTTAAATTTCAAATATTATGTCCAAGAAATCAGAATATTGAATATTATAAAAGGCGCATCGGATTATAAGGCGCACTGCCGGCCTTTGAAAAGATTTAATGCTTTTAGATACGCCTTATAGTGCGGAAAATACGGTAAGTGAAATGTGGATCACGAAAAAACAGAAACTCCCCCCAAAAAATGTTGAATATTTTGTTAGTTTATGAGCAGGGAATCAAGGTGGAACCACAATCCTGACGTTTACATTTTAGCTGAGTAATAACGATCAGGTTACCCTCATGACCTGAAGGTAGCAATGATATTACATATGATGTAATGGTGGACAAAAGATGAGGATATTATCGATATTTAGATAAAAACATTCTGCATCTAACCGAACTGCCACCGGGATGAATGAGTATTATGATATACTGTAGTTTAATTAAACGTAAAAGGTCGTTACGTTGTTTTGTGTTTCATATGCTGGTAACAAAAACACATGAAAAATAACACCACTGTGGAAAAAAAAATGTTTGGCCGAAGCCACCACCGAGTTATAGAATGTCTTAAGGAGTTTCAAATTTGAAACGGATGTGATAGGCTCCCCTACCACCCTTATGAGGACAAGGGACTATAGAAAATGGATCTTTACTTCTCTCTCATTTCTTCTCTCATCTCTCTCTCTCTCTCTCTCTCTCTCTCTCTCTCTCTCTCTCTCTCTCTCTCTCTCTTTCTCTCTCTCTCGCTCGCTCGCTCCTTGTCACTCTCTTCTCTAGGTATGCCATGAGGTTGAAGAACTTCACCAGCCACTCAGCCACCATAGCGGAGAAGAAACTTGCCGTGTTGTGGTATGATTACCATTTTTTTTTTAATCTCGGAACACTCCATCAAACTTTGATGTTCATTCATATTTGATTACCGTCTTGTTGAACATAACCCGACTCTGTTCGTTCGACAAAGCAATGTTACGTTCATGTTCAGCAAACAAGTCACAGCAGATTCACTCACCTAGTGCAGGAAGTGAGGGTTCACTTCTTCATCTGTGATGTTATGAATGTGAGCGTGAATGCGAATAGTTGTCTCTCTCCATCATGTGAACCTGATTGATTAGCTATCAATCCAGGGTGCATTGTCCATTTTCCCCAATTCAGCTGGGATAGGCTCCATACAACCCTGAAAAGGATAAGCATTATGGAAAGTGGATCACTGACTGACAAAGAAAATGTTGTTTTACTTTACTATTTAATTTTGTACAGCAGGGTAAAAAAAAAAAATCTGTTACATCTCCAGCTAGGCGCATTAATGGTCTTTGATTAGTTCAGTCGAAAATTGCCCCTCCATGTAACGAGTGGAATTGTCTCACATAAGCAGTTCCTATTTATTTGTCTTTCATTCTGGGTTCATATCAATACCACAGTGCACTTAGAGATGCAAGTAATTGTTATTCACATAACAAGCACAAGTGCTTTCGAAACAAAGTGCAACAGAACAATGAGAAAATGCAGTTCGCCAAAGAGCAATCCTTTGGATGTATGTGGGGCCCTTTTGTAAGGTGTTTAAGAGTTATTTTAATCAAGATGCCTTATCAAGTTTGCACACTTTGCACAAGGCTGAAGGAATATGTTGGTGCTGTTTTGCTGCTGTTGCTCGTAAAAGACATAAGATCACATCTTCTCTCTTGCTGAGCCAGTTCTGAGAAGGAAAAACATTTTCCATCAGGGAAAGTTCTCTCAATGCTATGCATGACAAAATGATGCCCGGTTGTGACAAAACTGCAACGGTACCAGTCAAGCTAATCTGTTTATTAGCCTCAAGAGGTTAAAACCTGTCGTTGCCGTCGTGTCCCACTCTCTGGATTCTCGTGGGTCTCTTTGTTTTCCGAGGGGCCACAATAGAAGCATGCCAGATGGCTATGCAAGATTACTAATGTGCCTTTTGCAAATCTGTCAGCCTTACAAGGTTACATCCCCACGTGTTTTGAGTGTATTTCTGCCTCTGTTCTTCCTTCCTTTACTGTTTCTGTTAAGAGGGGTGAAAAAAAAAAGGGATGATTAGATAAACACTTTCCTTTTTTGCATGTGCTTCGAAGGTGCTCATCCGGCTCTGGGAAGACATGTCTGAATTCTGACTACTATTTTGTTTTTCTCATCGACAGGAAGATAATACAGTATTGAGAATAAGGCTTTTACCGTGAATCTTGAGAGAGGATTCATCTGCCTTCTAATGGCTTTGTTTCCATAGTAACCGCTGTCTGTCTCTGCTGTATCTGCGGATGTTCCATCTGAAGAAAGACCATGCTGTCAAGTACTCACGTTCGCTGATGGAGTATTTCAAGGTAACACACACACACACACACACACACACACACACACACACACACACACACACACACACACACACACACACACTTGATGGGACCTTTAATTCGTCTCTAATGTTCCACTCTTTGGCTGAAAAACATGCAAAGCCAATTACAAGACATTTCATATTCGTTTTCATGGTGCTGTGCATTAATTTTCCATTGCATTATTAAAATCCATGCTTTCTCTTTGATATTACCACGTTAATTAGCTCCATCAATCATCAAAGAGGATTGTTGAGTTTAATGTACTTGTTTTGATTAATTATGTGTAGTTTAATTAATTACTGAGGATGTCATTATCACAGTGCTGCGTTTCCAGTGATGGGATTGGATTTCTGGGAAGCAACGGAAGGGGAATTTGTGGGAACTGTGCGTGACTGTTTGCGTGTGCGTGTGTATGTGTGCGTGTGTATGCGTGCATGTGTGCGTGTGTGCATGCAGTACTCAGGCTGTGTGTTGAGGAGACGAAAAACCAAACAAATAAAATCACATTGTCCAGAATGGAATCAGTCTTACTACTCCAGTATTATGTACACATTTTCAACAGACAATGTGTGTCAAAGTGTAAGATAAGGTCATGAATCCTCTGGTAATTTTACAGAGTTTTATCAAGTAAAACCACCATTTTATTAAGTAAAATGGTGGTTTGATAAAACTACAATATCCTCTGATTGTCCAGTTTGATTTTTATTCTCTTCAACTTCTTGTCCAACTGCAGTGTACGATTGGATTTAAAATTAAATAAATAAAATAAATCAGGAGTGCTTTATTCTTCAACTTGCTATGCAGAGTTCATAGGAGTCAAACAGAACTGCCCCGTAATATTTATTTTGCAAATGAATCACTCTGTATCAAATATAAATTTTATAAAAAAAAATGGTGGTTCTGGTAAAAAAAATTGTGTGGACCATTCCTAATTGTGATGCAGTTCTGTTAAAAACACATTTTAAAGTAAATCTTAGTTGATAAATATTTTAACTTGGCGCAGTATGATTTCAAATGTAAATATCCCTCTTATACATGCTTTTAAAATATTTAACCTGTCAAGCAATTTTTCAGCATCACGATGACTACCGGTATGTTAAAGGGGAACTCGAGTCCAAAATTGTTGTTTCATTTCAATAATTTGTTCAATGCGCCCCCACTAGTTTAAACACAGTATTGCATTTGTGGAATCTGAATTAGGCAGCAAAATCCACCTCTTTTTAACCCTCTCAGGAGGCGGCCACTTTGCCACTTGCTGTCGTCCAAGAATTGCATCACAGGGCTCAAGTAATGACCAGTCAGGGTTCATCTGTTTTCTGGGTCTGGTCTTATGATTGTTTGCAAGTTGAGCCCTGAGGCATTGTGATGTCAACGGCCAGTGACAAAATGGCCGCATCCTGAGATGAATAAAACCCGGTTGATCTTGCTGCTAAATTCAAAGTCTCAAGTGTGAACGCTGAAAATAGATGTGTTAAATGTGGAATTAATGCTCCCGCACACTCTCTAACACTGGTCACTGGAAATTTTATATGGCACCTGATGGCAAAGAGGTCTCTGAAGATCTGAAAACAAAAACTGAAAAGATATCACTGTGCCACTACCCAAGAGGGACCTTCGGCATACACCTTTGCTCACATTTCTGCAGATAAGCTTTTGTCGTGTGTCTCTCTGTGTACCAGAACTCCGCCAAGAATTCCCATCAAGCACCCTCTCCCTGGAGGACAAATGGAAAGTGAGTACACATATACAAATGCTTGCTCACACATAGACAATTTAGAATCTTGAATTCACTGGACCGCCGCTGCAAAATACCGGAGCGTCCTTAACAATCTTGTCGACAAACAAACCCCTCAGGAAGTAAAGAAAAGGATTGATTTGCTGTAGTTGTGAGTGGAGGGGCTGTCGAGGGCTGGCGGAGGTGCGATGGAGTGGGTGGTGACAGATCGAGGAGAGGCATGGAGGGGCTGTGGATATGAAGCTAATGAGTTTGAACAGCTCTAACGCTCATAACAGCAGGACGGAAACTCAGCGCATGTGTGAGGGACGTGTGCATAACCAAAAACCTACCAGTCTGTGGATTAGCGAGGGTCACGGCCAAAATCACAGACATGACGTCAATGTCAGAGCCACACAGATTTTTGAACTTGAAAGCTTTCAGGTACTTTATTGTACGAGTGACACACTTTTTTTTAGGTTTGGTGATATAGATAATGAAGTTGTTAATTAAAAATTAATTAATCTCAGGTTAGACAGTAACGAAGATGACAAAGTTCTTTACAGGTACAAAACACTCCTAACAAAATACTGTCATAAAAAGAAAACTTTGGCTTATCCTAACAATGTGTTGGCATGCACATGAATTAGACTGACACGATTTACTGGCCAATGACGCACACCGCAGAACAAACTCACAACTTCTCAGGCGCGAACATGATACACATAAGACACTTCGATATTCAAAATTAGCCAATTTCTCTGAAAAAAAGACATAATTTTTTCACCTTTTCTACAAAATTAGCATGTATCAGTTATCTATTCATCATTTTTTACATCCGCTTATTCTCACAAGAGAGCCCATCCCAGCTGTCTTTGGGCAGTCGGCGGGGTACCGCCTGAATTGGTTACCAGCCAATCGCTATTTATTTTCATTTATGTCAAAATGGAAATGATTTTATTTCATATTTTTGTTGATTGAAAAGGACATTTTGTTGAGAATATTACACGTTCATTGCAAGTGGCCTGACCGAGCTCAGTGTTCTGTTAACTCATTGACGCAACCCTTTCAGATTTTTATTTCTGTGCCCCCGTTTTAAGTGTGCATCAATGTGAATTAGAGTGTGAACACTGTCTATATCCGTGATTCTCAAAGTGTGTTACGGGTACCACTAGTAGTGTAAGGGCCCCCTCTAATGGTACATAAAGAATCACTGAATTTAATGTCCATACTTTGAACATTTTCTGGATCCAGCACAGAAAGGTGGGGTAGACCCCGGATCAGTCATCCACAGTCAATATTCAGACAGGCACTCATACTCACGTTTGAAACCCTGTAGAGAATTTAGACGGTTTTCACGGTTTTGGAATTTGGGAAGAAGTGCGGTGAGAAAACACAAACGCCACAAACCCCTTACCTCAGAACTGTGAAGCTGACATGCTAACAATTTGTCCGCTGCACCACTATCTCTGACTTAATTTATCCTTAATGTGTTTGGTAAGTTTGAGGCCTGGGTTCTGTGCAAGTTTTTCTACACCAAACCATATAAGGATAATTGTAGGGACCTTGCTTTCACGGTGACACAGAAATTTGTTTTACCAACACTGTCTCCATGAAACAGCTAGCTTGTATAGCATTTGGTTGACAAACTGAATTGAAAATGCTTAGATTCGTTTTTCAATCACCGCAGCCTGATTTGCCAATCATTACCATGAGCTCGTCTTTTATTGTTTAAATGCCTAACAGCCCCTCCGGGTATTCCAGGATCAACGGGACTCCGTCTCCACTCTCTCTCAGCCTCTCCCCGGCCAGCGGCGGCATTGGGGGAGGAGTATCAGGAGGTGCACCAAATTCATCAGGCAGCATAGCAATTCCACAACGCATCCACCACATGGCGGCCAGTCATGTAAACATCACCAACAACATCCTGCGCAGCTACGAGCACTGGGAGACGGCTGACAGATTGGCCACCGGTAGTCAAGGTTAGAAAATAAAATATGATCATTCTAAAGTCTTGTGTTGAAGCGATTGCGGGCCTCGTCTAAAAAATAGTTAACCAGTGATGGGAAATTGTGATTTCCGAAGATTGTTGAAGAATTGAAAGATAATTGCCCTGCAAAATAATGTTCTTTGATTGTTTTTGCTCTAATATCATCACTACACATATGAGGCCCTTTGACACTTTTTGTGGTTAAGGGCTTAATAAATAAATGTGACTTGGCACTATATTACACTTGAAAAAAAACGAAATTATTTGTCGTGATAGTTTCTGGGAAAATGTATCGTCTTCAACAATTTGTTATTGTGACAGGCCTCACTGCTCCCTGCTCAACTTGAACTATACCTTGAAGCAGTCTTGGTGAGCTCACGAACGAGATTAAACTTCCATGTCCCCGCCAAGTTGTTAGTAAAGGATGCAGCATTCCCTTTTTTTTCTGCTGCTAGTCTCCTTCTTAAAATGAGCAAATGAGCTTTCTTTTGTCACAATGAAAGATACATCTCGGGAAAGTAGGTTCTATTTCTTGTCTAAACCCATCGTTCCATGCTGCCACATCACTCTTTCACACTGATCCACTGCGTAGTGAAAAGGGCTTTAAAAATGACTGCCGATGCCACGAGGTGACAGTCAAGCACAACTTCACTGGAAATGACGCTCCTCAACTCACTTCAACAGTAAGATGTGACAAAGCCCTACTTTTGTCAAATTGAAACTCCTTAACTCATTCCAAAATAGTTCAGAAGCACCAACTTGCCACAAGGTGGCCTGAAGACATAAAGCGCAAACAAAGATCAGGAGATAGGTTCCAAAAAATAATTTTCAAATTTGAGGCGTGATGAAGCGGGTGTTAACTCGACAGCTAATATGCACAGCTACATTGTCGTGACCTTATTATGCTTGTCTTGTTGCTAATCTTCTCATCTGTGTCAGTGAAAGAACCTCAAGTGTAGTTAAGTGTTTCATCCGAAGTGTCTCTCTGTCTCCCTGCAGAGTTCTTCCAGGAGCTCGACTTGGCGATGGAGCCTTTGAGTCAGCAGAGCGGCATGACCGAGCTGGTCCGTTACATCAGACAGGGGCTGCACTGGCTCCGCATTGAGGCGCACCTGCTGTAGGCGCTGGACCAGAGCCAGCCATAATAAAAAAAAATTTAAAAAAAGGGAAATCATAAAATGGGCCTGGGAGCTAGAACTGGGATCAATCAGATGACACACACAATGACGCTTTAGTCCCCGTTGGGGTCCTTCAAATGACTCAACATGCAATCATACAGTCATGGCATTGATGAGCTGGATTAATTGGGAAAAAATCAATCCGCACTTAGGAATTAGTAATGACATGATTTGAATGTGACCTACTAAGTACAAATGAGCATAATGAAATTGATGTGGCTCTTTGGGGAGACAACAATTATGACGCAGTTTTCAATTCCTCCCTGAATAGAGATATAAGTTTGATGTATTTTTAACGAGATGAGACAATTTTCAAAAGGAAGTGTTCAAGCTGCTGTGTTTAAAGTGGATGACTCTTGGAAGGAAGTTCCATGGAGGCTCCAAGAAACATGTTGTCTGATACTGATCCAGCCGCTAAAGCACTTGTCCAATACACTAATTAGGTAAGGGCCATGCAGGTAAAGGCAGCCACATTACAAAGAATTTTTTAACAGAAGACTAACATCTGTCGCCTTAACGTAGCCGTCCTCTTACATTCTAAATTCTCCTGCGATTTATCTTTTTCCTCACAAAATTAAACAAATATGTGAAATGACCATTGCTGCTGTTCACAGTTAATCTGCGGCTTTCTTTTGGCACTTTAATACTTGATTTATAAAAGTGGATAACACAGTGTCTGAAGTTGACAGCGGTTTTTGCTGCCGACTGAGGGGTCCGAAATCGCAGATTTCCGTGCAACTTCATCTTCTTACTCTTTGTGTCAATTTCCTTTGCACTAAATCCAGACTACAATCATTTCAGGACAATGCCCCTCTTTTAAACGTTTTTTTTAAATGTTATTCCTTTCATTACTTTTCCTCATTGTTGTTCCTAAATGCTGAACATTTTTTTGTTGGACCGCTGGACAACCCAAGGCATGAACCAAAAACCCAGGCCTACCAGTGGGGATAATCAAATTTTGCTTGGGACCTTTTCTGTCATTGTCTTAAGTGAAATAGTTCACCAAAGAAAAATCAGTCTACCAATCTCAGCACACAAAGAATGACGCATTTTGGGATTCCTTGAGTTGTTTCGAGGCCTCGCCGGCTATTTTTTTTTTTTAGGGAAGTTGGCTCAGTTCTGGCTCCCACGGTAACCCGCCAACCCAGCTGACTGTCCAAAGTTGGGCATAAAATACAAGATCTCCCCCAGCCCCACTAAGAGACTGTGCACCAATGGCAAGTTTGCAGAAAATTGAATCTGATCAAATCACCACTGGACATTTTGGTCGCTTGCTGTGTCGTTCCATGTATACGTGTACAGCTGATTGTGTCAAGTCTTTGAAAAATGACTGGACGATAGTGACGTTTGTGCTCCACGATATAAGGGACTGTGACTCCCCGCGGACAGTGATGTTGTGTTTATTGTTGTTGTGGTTGTTTGTGTCAGTTCAAAGTGACCGGACGATTGAATCATGTGAAACAAGATATTGAACATCTATATTCCGTCGTGCGTGTTTTTTTTTTTTTTTGTGTGCGCGCGAGAGAGAAAGAAAGAAAAGTATGTGTTTGTTTTTGGCCGCATTCACACAGCAACAAATCCGCCACTTGAAAACTCAAAGCTTCTTCCCGTGCCGTTTTTTTTTGGGGGGGGGGGGTTTATAGTATTTATTTTTTGTTGTTGTCTTGGTCTGTGTAAATCCAGCTCATCGAGTGAGTGCTTTGGTTCTCAGTCATGTAACCGCAGCTGAATGTGTATGGAAGACAATGCGGATGTGGAAAGAACATTTGACAAAAAAGAAAAGAAAAAAAAAACTTAAGTGCCTCTCTTCATGTCCAGTGGGAATTGCTCTATTTATTTAAGAAGAAATAATGAATCTAAGTGATTTTCCATACCATATTGGTACAAATATGAGATTGTTTTTTGTAAAATCAAATGTTTCCATGAGCTTTTTACTAGCATTTACTGTACGATGACATTGGGGTTCGGCTTTAAGAAAAAGAGGTGATTCAAAGTGTCCAATTTCCATTGTTGTTTTTCTTGATGTTTTGACGGTTCGTCTGAAATGCCTGATATGAAAAACGTTGCATGCAATAAAATGGTAGCGTCAGACCAACAACTACTTGTGTCATGTGTCTGAAAATGTTCAAACTTCCAACTTGTCTCATAAGCTTGCTACAAATACAGCGGCACCATTTCTTGAAATATGTATGACAGTGGAACCTCTGAACTACATTTTTTCAGTCTTTGCTGTTTTACAGCAGTTTAATTATGATTATATAGCAGGAAAGTTACTGCTCTCTCTTTGATTGTTTGATCGATGTTGATATGGTTACAATTAGTGGTGTGGTTCTCGAGATCAGTCTTGGCTCGAGACCAGTTTCTAAGGGTCTCGTCTCGGAATCTAAGGTATTTTTACTCTGTCCTGTCTCAGTCTCAGTCCGGGCGGATTTGGGATTTTTCAAGACCTGCCGAGACCAGGCCTTGACTACATTAATCAGTGAGAAAGGCAGCACCTGTACTGCGCTACCTTTCCAGTGTCTCCTGGAGTGCCACGAGATTTGTTGTGTGAAAGCCAATATATGTTATTCTACGGCATTAACTTCTTCAATTTTATTCCTCACAGTTTTTTGAGGCGCTACTGCTCCCACATTTATTCAACCTATTCCAAAAATTTGACAGCTGTGCTTCTATTTTCCCATTCCAAAAAAATCCCGTTTTTCCCAAAATGTCATGTTTTTCACTCAAACTTCACCATTCATTCCCAACGGCACTTTCAAAATCTCCAAATTTTGGTTGCAAGCTTACATCCTTTTCACTTGAAAACTGAAGGCAGCAAGCCCTGTGAAGATGGCCGCTGTTTTGACACTATTCAGAAACACGTGTCAGTTCAAAATGAGAAAATAGCTTTTGTGCGCAACGGGAACATTAGCATGGAAGGAAAGTTAATGTTATTAACAAAAGCGGGACCTTGAACTTTCACAAAGTAGTCACTTGTCTGAAATCTACGGCTACCAATGTATTCATAAAAAAACAAAAAAAAAAAACCACCATTAATGGATCCTCATAATTAGAGCATGCTTTTTAATGAATAAAACCTCACAGGTGCACTCAGCGAGGTCTGTTTGCTATAAAGGGGCCTTCCATTAAAACAGGCGTGTTTATCCTCTTCAATGGATACTTATTGCGACATTCATTCAACCAGCCTCCTTCGCAGCAAAGCTTTAATTCGTTGGCTGTATTCCATGTATGTATTACAAATGGAATACATTTCATGGTGAAAGAAAGAAGCCCACATGTGAAGGAGGCCAAGAAAGCCATGAAAGAAAATGAGACGACGCAACATAAGAGAGACCTCATAGTTGTAAAGAGTATTTGTAAAGAGCCTTTCACACCTTTCCTATTAGCGAATTGAACGTATCATTGTGATCATGTGCATTTTCATATCCAATCAACTGATCAAACATGTATCGTGAGGACTATTAATTGTGCTGTTGTTGAATGAATGTTAGATGCGGACGGATCTGTTTTTTTTTCTTCCCCGCTCAGTGACGATGACATTTTCAGGATTTATGTATCAATGCAAATGTTAAGGTTTCTGCGGACCGCTTTAATGACTTTTGTGTATCGTTTGCGCCATTAAGCTGAGCAAATCTATTTTGGAATCATATTAGGCTGCCGTACAAATGCAGATTGTGATTGTTAAATTTAACCTCAATCCATTCTGTGGTATTTTCTAACTAATTCCTTGATGGCATTTTTAAAATAGGCATCAATCACCTGGAATTCGCCCTGGAAAAATCCTTAGCAGAAACAAGTCCACCCACCCATTTTCTCACCTACAATGAACTGACCTATATTTAGGAAAAAGATCTATTCTTACACACACAAATTTTGAATTTTTCATTTTGATTCAACACAAAGGTAATAAATCTGCTTTTATAAAGGACTACAGCAATCTGAGAATATTTACTGTTGAGAGAAAGAAATTCCAAGGAGTTGGACATTTTTATTCATTAAACGAGGTCTCTAAATGATTAATCGATTATCGAAATAATGATCCAGTAATTTGATAATTGATTCATTGTTGATTAATCAACTCATTTTTGCACTTCAAACAAACACACGCACACACACTCAGTGGGTGTCCATCATGGCCGATGAGATGCACACTGTCTTCCACACAAAAGCAGATGCTGGGGTTGAATTGACAGCAGAGGTGAGTTGCCTCCTACGTTTTTTTGGCCAGGAGCGGCCGTCTCCAGTGTGTTAGGGTGGAGCCCCCCCCTTTTTTTTTTTTTGAAAGACCATAAACTGATCTCTGAGCCTCTTTTTTTAGCCCTCCAGCTGAGCGTTGTCCTCGCCTCAGCCGGCCATAGAGGACCTTCCGTGGGATACCATCCTCTGGCATTCTGATGAGGTGGGTGAGCAAAGTGATACTGTAGTAAGGGATGGTGGCACACACACACACACACACACACACACACACACACACACACACACACACACACACACACACACACAGGCTTCCATAAAACTACACAGTACATAAAAGAAAGCCAGTATTTGTGTGATATTTTCAGTGAATTTGTTATTTGTTTATACAGCGACTCTCCGCTGCTTGTGTTGAGTAGTTCATGAAATATTGCACAATAAAAAGATATGAATCATTTCCCACTTAGCTGAAATTACTCGTCTACAGAGAGAGGCAATTAATCTGAAAAGTAACAGACTTAATATGTATTGGACAGATTCAAAGACAAAAAAAAAAGTTTCCTGCGACTCATGCGAAAAGTGAGCTTGCGTTTATGGATTCTTACACACAAACGCACAAAGACATGCAGTTGAGACTAACACGAGGCATAAGGCAGCTGAGCTCAGCTTTTTTTCCCACACTGACTCCCACACTACATCTCTCTAATGTAATTGTGTATGTCACCAATGTTAACAGAAAAGCAGGGTGACCTGTCAGGCTACGAGCCCATGGTGGTAATGTGATTAGCTGTGTATGAATCATAATGAGAGTGTGACAAAGACAGAGTGGCTGGAGGAGAAGGGGCAGCTACATAAGAGGGGGAAAAAAAGGAGGTAGCAGGTAAACACGAACGTAATTGTCATTGGATCAATGTGATCATGGGAGGAGATCACTGCTCGGTATGATAAATATTGATCGGATAAAACCACCGAGGCACATTTCCAGGCTGCCACAAGACAGGCACAACCTCAGTGACCCAGTGCTTTCTGCTCATACAAACAATGTGAACGCGAAGCTGAACTGCTGCGAGCCAAACTCACTTGGCGAAATGTTTATAAAATATAAAGATCAATTTATGCAGTCTTGTACTGAGCACGTAAAAGACAGCATGGACGCCATTTTCCCATATAGAAGAAGCATCAAGCTGCCAAAATGATATCAAATTATTGTGAAAATCTGTCCATGCGGAGGAAAATGTAGCAGACGCGTCTCCAAACACAAAAGTGACCCCAGCACATATCGTGTGGACAACTTGACCAAGCAAACAAGTGCCCTTTGGCCTTCGCCTTATACTGTTTGCTCGAGGTCATCTGTGCATCCCACAAAACTCAATGCAGCGCTGCATACATTTTAGGCTTTGATGTGGGTTGGTGCAGTTAGGGTTTTTTTTGTTCTTTTTCTGTTTGATAAAGTGGCGGTACAGTGGTCGACTCGATTCCGGCTCCGGCGTTCCTGTATGGAGTTCGCATGTTCTCCCCGTTTCTGTGTGGGTTTTCTCTACATTCCAAAAACATGGATGGCAATGTTGATAAACACTCTAAATTGTCCCGAGGTGTGATTGTGAGCACGGATGGTTGTTCGTCTCTGTGTGCCCTGCGATTGGCTGGCAACCGGTTCAGGGTGTATAAGTTACATCCTGTTTGGGGACCAGTCCAGGGTGTACACCACTTCTCGTCTTAAGTTAGCGAGAATGTCTCACCCGCGACTAAGTGAATACAAGCCGTAGAGAACAAGTTTGGTTAGTTGGATGTTTTTTGACTTTTTAACTCAAGGCTGTCTAGTGTCATGTTGTGTATGGATTTTCTGCACCTTTGAACTTTAAGCTTAAGTGCCAGGAGAATGTAAGCCACGGTCATTTTCACTAAGACATTTAATTAGATGGCTTCAATGTGCTTAGCTGAACACATGAGAGCTTGAGTGGCTCAAGTGGAGATTTGAACAGCTTCCTCTTGCCATCAGCTCTGGCAATGTGATGTGGAAGTACGATGGATGAGACTAAATATGTTTGTGCCACACCATATCAAACCCACGTTGACCACCGTGATATTGTCAACAGTAGGCTACTTCATTTTTCCATCCGTCCATCCATTGTCTTCTGGTCATCCAAAATTCATTTATCGAACATGGCTGGTCCACTTCGTGGCACTCCTACCTTAAATGGCACCCCGTGGGAGATCCCCTTCATTTTTTTCCTTTGTAAAGTTTTAATGCCACTTTTAAAGAGTGGCATCTTACAAAGTAATGTTCGAAATGACATGATTAGAGAAAGAGAGAGACAGAGAGAGAGAGAGATAAAGGGAGAGAGCGAAAGAGAGAGACAGAGAGAGAGAGAGAGAGAGAGATAAAGGGGGAGAGAGAGATATATACTGTATATAAAGGGAGAGAAAGAGAGAAATTGACATCACTTGCTCCTGCACAGAAAAGGTTTGAGCTGGTCGGAATTATTTACGTCTTAATCTACATTTTCTTTAAACGTGCACATGCCGAGAAGACACGCCACCATGCATCTCCCCTAGTTTTCCTAAAGATGAGGGAGCATGCTCTCAATCCTCATCCAAACTGCAAGGTTTGACAGGTCATGCCTTTGCGCTTGAGTACAACAGGGAGCACCTATTTTGAGTTGCGGCGGGTGCATCGCTGTACATCTTGCACATGCTAAAATCCACCGTTCGGTCCACTACAAAACACTCAAGTATGCAATGTGTGGTCACATAAGCACCAACATGTATACTATTGGCCTGAAAGAGTAATGTAACAGAATTATAGAGTGTTTTTGTAAAGATAAAGGCATGACACAACAATTGCTTTAGTGGCGACTCTTTCGTATATTTTAAAGTGGATTGCAATACTTTTGCCACATTTCTGCCATCATTTCGACAAGAGCAGGAGAGTAACCCAACATATTTAGTCGTGGCCAGGATGATTAAAAGCCACATATTTGTTTAAAAAAGGGAGCTTTTTTGCTCATATACACAATTTTTCCCCACACATTATGATCATTAAAAAATATATATTCACAACATTTTATCTCTCTCTCTATCCATCCATTATCTGAAACCCTTCTCCTCATGAGGGCCCTGAACTGGTTGCCTATCGCAGGGCACACATAGACAAACAACAATACACACTAACAATAACACTAAGGGACAATTTAGAGTGTCCAATTAACCTACCCTGCATGCTTTTGGAATCTGGGAGGAAACTGGAGTAGCCGGAGGAAAGCTACGCAGGCACGGGGAGACCATGCAAACTCCACACAGGAAGGCCGGGACCCAGAATCCAACCCTGCCCCTCTGCACTGTGAGGCCGACGTGCCAACCAATTGACCAATATAGTATATGAATAATATTGATAAAATATTACAAGCATGACAATTCATGTCTGTAAAACTGCCATTGAAAACAACAGGGGTACACAAAGCTAACCTGTTTTTTTTTCTCTTTGAAAGTTCAAAAAAGAAAACATCAGGATGGTCGACAGGCATCACTGCAGGATGTCAAAGAAGGCTCAGCAACACCGCGATTGTGTGCAAATCAAACAAACAATGAGGTGTCAAATTTCAGTGTTTTGTACTGTACAAATATTTTTTTAATAACTCAGTCAAGAGACAAACTTTAACACGCAGGACGATAAAGATATCAGTGCAACATCTTTATCAACTGGAAACCATAATCACTTGTTTTCAAGGTGACAAAGTGCATTAGAAATATCGCTGTTAACACAACACCTGTGGAGGTAACACCGAGTGAAACTCTTAACGTGCACACCACTCATTTTCAATATTCCTCGAGGAAGCAGCATATAAAAGGATGTGAATAATTTTCAACTAATTAAAGCGGTTTATCAAGAGTGCGCGCTATTGAAATTTGACCTTGTGTGCTGCCGTGGCTGCCTTGTAAAAAAGTTGCCGATTATGATCTTTGAAGCTCAAACGTGAATGGAGATGGTGCATGTTAGATATTTAATAACGGGTCGCATCTGTTTTGTAGAAAAATATACACGGCCAATGTTTTTTCCCTTTCTTGGGTTTTATTGCCTGTGAAAGCGCTATATAGCTCACGATGTTGTGTATTGTCTTGTATTTTATGCACTCTACAGCCATCTGTCATTGTGCTTCCCTTGCATTTATCTTCATTCCTGCTGTGAGGTAGAGGAGCTGCAGATTCATCCTCGTCTGTACGCTCACAGTCTGGGCAGGAAAGAAACCAACGAGTCACGTCGATCAAGAATCTAAACGAATGGACATAACGCAAACTTACAGGTGGCATGTTCTTCATCTTCGTCCTTATCATCATCATGCTGTGCTGCTCAAAGTCATCATAGACATTGTTGTCCTCACCGGGGTCGTCTACCAGCATGTACAACTCCCCAGCATGCACATCAGACACGTTGACCTTTACAAATTGATGATAGTGGCAAATGTCAACCACACGAGACAGATGCTCAGTCATTCTACAGACGAGCTTTGAGAAAGACAGAGTGAACACCATGCGGTTATTTGCGAAGAGTGAACTCCTACTTGGTATGTTTTGGGGTCAAAGCCCAGCCATAGAGTGAATCTGTAGTCATAGGTGCGCAGAGAGTAGCCCATCACCTTGATGTCTTTGAGGTCAGGGAGGTCCGAGTTCTCCTAACAGATGATGACAAATGTGACATGGTAGACTTGAAGCAGACATCTCTTTGTACGGCGGACGTTTTAGGGCACCGTCATGTCAGGTCTACTGAATTATACCTTCAATCATCAGACATCATGGTCTCAGATAGACACAGACGGACGGTAAATCAGCACTGGCTGGATTTACACAGTAGGTCCAAGTGCCCAAACCCATTGCAATGCCTATATAATATTTTTTTGGACACATTTTATTAAGTGGCACATAGCCAATACAGTGTTTACAACAGAAAACACGAAAGAAGGTAACCACACATAGCTGCCAATCTATCGAAATTTACTTCTGGGACAATTGAATTTCCATATTTTTAAGAACTTCGATGATTCCCAAAAAGTGAATGTGACAGTTTACCATCGACCATTATGATCAAATTGGATTTTTCATGTTTTAGACTGTCTTTCTTTGGGAAGAGTACATTTAGTAACCCGTTCTAATAGTTTCGGTAGAGGGTAAACGAATATTGATGGCAGAGTTGGGAGAAAAGTTCAGGCTACGGTCATATCACAACTTAAAGATTAGGATGTTTACATTTTAAGGTGTATTCATTATTCATTTTTTGTTGTTCACCGTGTTATTTTAGATTGTTCTACACGTGTTGTACTGCTGAATTGGAATAAAAAAAATCTATATATATTTTCTGTTGGCTATCGTTATCATAACTCATTAAAATGTTGAAGTGCCCTCTAGTTACATTACTTTCACTTTCAGTACAACACGCTTTAAAACTGGCAATGAAAAAATTGTAATGCCATGAAAATGACTGTGATTTTTTTTCTTAATAGCACCCCAAAGGGTAGGCATTCGCATGCAAAGGGTACGTACTGTCCAGACCGGGAATGGCCAACATTATAAAGATGATTCCCCTACCGTACAGAAATGGTTTCTTTGCCCCTTTGGACTATCTGTGTTCCTTTTCTAACTATAAACACTACTTATTTGTACCCGGGGGTTCAGTTGTGACACATTGAAAATGTCCAGTCGAAAAATGAAGTGTGCAGATGATGTGCAAATCATTGTTTTTATTCACTTTTTCTACGAGGCCCAAACTTCATTGAAATTGAGGCATGGGCTTAAACACACGTGAGTGTTTAAATCAACAATGATCGTACCTGCGGTGTATCAGCAGGCCGCGGATACTGGCTGAAAGACACTGCCTCCTCATTAATTTTTTTCTTTTTGGGTTTGAATTCATGCGCCAAGTTCCTTCCTTCTGTACACAGCTCCTCCTGAAGAAAAAAGGAAATGTCAACGCAAACCACCGTAAACTCAGGACGATAAGACACTGCTTTCCCCCCCCCCCATGTTTTTAACCCTGCGATTATAGAAAATTTAAACTAGGAGAGACAACGCCCACTTTGACTTTTTCAGGGGGAGAAGTACGTGCTCCCAATCACACAGCCCGGTCCAACTACTACTCACATCTCATACACATTAGATTCAACAACTCCCAAACCTTTTTTTTTTCCACATAAACTTCTCCCACGATGAGATTACATCTCAAGATCCTTCGGCTGTTTGAAAAGCGCAATTGAATCCTTTATCATTCTTCCAAACAAGTCCAAACCATCCATCGCAACCCGATCGCCTCCTCTCCCCAAATTCCCTTCACCTCTGAAACTCTTTGAAATAACCTTGTTCGTAAGAAGTCCCATCTCAGCTCTCGTCGCCATCCTCAAATCACCTTAATCCCATTTTCCGTTTTTCTCCCCGCTCATCTCCAATATCTTCAACATCTTCAAATCTGGCTCAGTCCAAGACACTTGAAACTTGTTGCAGTCATGTCAAAACGACTCCCATTCCATCTCCAATTGGCCCTCTCTATCAAAAATTCCGGAACACAATGTTGGAACCCACCAAACCGCCAACGCACTGTCTGAGACATTTCGATCTTCATTCAGAACACAACACTCCGGCAAATCAGCTCTTCTTAAAGTCGCTCAAGACCTCCTTGTTTCTGTCGGCATCCTCATCATGCTCAACCTCACAGAGGCTTACTTCAGACACAATCTAGCATTCCATTTTGCTCTAAAGCCTAAAAAAAAAAGGCTGCTTCCACATCACTGGTACAACCTTTCCCTGGTTCAGATCTTACCTCACGAAGAGACAGCAATTCATCCTCACAACTGCAACTCCTCCACTCTCTTTTTCTCAAGATCTTCGCCACACACCACACATTTGCAACTTCTGTGTCATTTTGGATCGCGCCCTGTCAGTTGATCCACATGACAACCAAGCAAACAAAACCTTTTTTCAACCCGAAAAAAAAAAACAAAACAAAAAAAAACAAAAACATTGTCCAGCTCAGTCCCTCACTTACTTCCTCCACCGCACAAATTCTAATAAAGGCAATAATCACATACAGAGTAGATTACTGCAATAGCAGCCACTTTAGTTTTTGTTGTTTTTCATGGTAAGTAAAGCAACTTTTAGCACTCTGAAAAGCACTATATAAATAGAAGGTACTATTGTTCTTTTTTTTTTTTTTTTTACTAATGCTGACCAATGGCTATCTATAAAAGACCCCTGCAGTTGGATGAATGCCTTTATGGGAAGTCAGGAACCCTTTGTGCCCAGAGTATTCTGAAGTTTACCATACTTTAAGTGTGAGAACAAACAGAATGAAAATACCGCTGAGAACAACTGCGTGGTGCAGAATAGACAGAATTATATATTCAAATATACCTCGCACAGAAGTGGTGGGTGAAGGTTTTACAGCAACGACACCACTTTCATGTTCGTGGTATGCCAGAGGTGTTGCGTGAGCAGCTTTGTGAAGCGATTTGGTGCAGCGTGCACAAGACATCCAGCTGTTCACATCATCAGAATTCTTTTTTCAGACAATCGAATTCTAGTGTGCATTGATAATTTTCGCCGCAAAACCAAGAATACAAACTGGTTTGGTTGATTTTTATGATTTAATGAGAAGCCTCCAACATTGCAGTGCTGTCTTCAGGACATTTCCGGATACACTGACGCTTGCATTGCTGCAATTACGGTTGTTGGGCTTATGCTCTTATTTTAACCATTAGTCAATGCGGGTAATAGTTCTCAGAGGCAGCTGTTAGGCTGTACGGAATCTATGTATTTATTAATATTCAGAATAGCTAAATTGTTTATTTTGAAGCTTCATCTCAGCCAAAATAGCAGGGCAACATTTTAGTCACAGTACCAGATGTACTAACATGCCAAATGATGTCTGACCTATTTTGCTTAGTTTTGTTTTAAAAAATGTAATGTGAATTATTTGAAGCATGATTACACTTACCTTGAAAGACATTTCAGGACAGGGGGGAGGTGTTTTCAGGCCAGCCAAGTGGGAGACTGTTGGAAAAATAGCCACTAGCTCCACCACATTTTCCACAATTTGATCAGCTAGAAAAGACATGAGTCACTCAGTTTCAAGAAGTCTCAAACTGAGGAAATGATTTATGAAAGGCAACTGCACTTAAGATTTAAAAAAAAAAAAAAAAAAAAAACAACCTTCAGAGAGTGACATACTGTGAAACTGGGCATTGTCTTTGTAAAGACAGAATTTCTTGATATAGCTTGTGTATTAACCCAAACCATAGTGAACATAGTCCCAATGTTGTCAACAGTCTTTTTTTCCCCCTTTTCTCAACTAAATTCAAATGTACCACAAAATGTAGGTTCTATATATGGCGTTTTTAGAAATGCAGGTTCTTACTTTTGAAGATGACCTCTGATGGGCTAAAGACATCCACAAAAGGAAAGGTAGATTCTTTCAGCACACTGTAAGATGCAGGAGGCTCAGGGACATAAAATATAAGAGGCACGCGTGTTGCCACATCAAAGTTGGAGTATTTTGCCCATTCACCGTGCTCACCTAGCGACCAACCTGAAACAAAATAGGAATGAGAACAACACGGTGACCACGAAACACGTTCAGATTTCCCTATCTTACCAGGTTCTTGAATTTGAATATTAATATGGGGTGCACTTTATTCATCCAATTAGCCTAAGTATCCACCTGAAACAAAATAGCCACATTACTGTTACAACACTGCCCTCTGGTGGCTGGCATTCAATTGAGTCACCTCAATAATGCGAACACGCCCAACACACAAACACATTGCTGAATCCAATCTCCTGCAAAAGCAATGGCCCAGCATGTTTTACTTTGAAAATCCCACACAAACCATTTTCACTACTCATGACTAACCATGATCGGAGGTGAACACCACTATTGTGCTCTGAGCCAGCCCCAGGGTATCAAGGGCACTGAGCAGCCGTCCAACCTGGGCATCCACGTAGGACACAGCAGCATAGTAGTGCTGTCGGATACGTAGCTAGAGGATAATGACGTAGGTTTCAAAAGGAGATACAAAGTGATTAATCATGTTAAAGGAAAAAAAAAAGTTCACAAGTAAGATTCATACTTGAAAGTCTTTTGGAACTGGTCCATACGGGAAACTAATATTGAGCTTTTGGACATCGTCTCGCTTCCTAATGTCTGTCCAAGGATTGTAGGCCACAGGGGGAAGGCTTTTCGGAACATTTGGGTCAGGGGCCAGAGTCATGTGTTCTATGGGATAGAGGTGTAGATACTCCTGGAATACAAAAAAAGTACACAATATTATTATTGTGATTAGAATGTGCTTTAGCTCAAATATGTCAATCGAGCATGAACAAAAACTTGTTTCGGTATGGCTTGTAAAATCTAAATGTTGACATACAACATATATACAAATAAATTTATTAAAAAATACTTTTTTTTAATGTTCCACCTTAATGTTTTTAGTCTACTTACACCACTCGAGCAAATTGTACTCACTGTTGCAATACTTTTGAAGGGGAGAGCATGTTGATTGGTTGCATTAAAAACATTTGTAGAGTTAAGATCCCAAGAACTGGAAGCATTTCATAGCATACCTGCGGTATCCGGAAGGGAATGTGGGGTTTATGAAAACCCACGGCCAGGAAGAAGGGATTACCATCAGAGGCCTGAGTCTTCAAAAGTCTCACAGCCTCATCTCCACTCTCCATGTCAGGCAGCGTTCCTCCAGGCTGCTCCGTGACATTCACTGCACACAGCAGGTTGGCATGGAGGCGACCATCCTCTCCTTTACACATCTGAAAATAAAGTTGAGGAACAGATGTATTTGCACATATTGCTTTCTGGGGCACTGGTCTCAACCCAACTCAAGGTCAATCACTGATTCGATTGACCTTTCAACAAATTGTTAAACTTGTTTTCCCCTTATGCTCACTGTATTCACACATGTAACAGCTGGGCCAAGCAGTATGATGCCAAACTTCGCCACTTTGGAGAACGAGAAACAATTTAATACAAAGTACCGGTAATATGCTTGCCAGCAGGACCTGAGAAGCTGCCGCACGCATTCAATAATCTATTCACACAATAGCTTTCATTACTAATTTCATCAACGTCATTACATTACAAAATTCAGATGGTTGACGTGGAGATACACACTTCACTTTGACAAAGGCTTGCTAATCTTCAGAAAGAAAAAAAAAACTTGTGATAAGGAGACGTAATACTTCACCTGGGGAACTTCTACGGGCCTTTTTTTGTGTGTATTCAAACTGCCCTCTGGATCAGACAGAGTGGGATCTTTCCAGCTTTGAAGTTAGAAATCGCCTCATAAAACTCCCAAACCAATAGCATACACACAACTCCAACCAACTCACAACTTATTTTCGTAGAAAGGGTTCTGTCAGTCGTCATCTGTACTTGTGGGTAAAAAACAAAAAAAAAAAAACAAAAACAAAAAAAAAACAAAAAAAAAAAGGACGTTTCGCTTCTCTCACAGAAGCTTCGTCAGCGGTAGACAACCCTGAAGTCTCCGTGAAGACTCCGGGAAGTTGCTCTGCGCTAAAAGGCTGAGCGTGGCCTGTTTGAGGACTGGGTGGGGATGGTTAGTCACGCCCCTATGGTGAAGAGGCCCATTGGTTTCTAAACTCCCTATCATTGGGTCTTGATTAGGCCTATTGTTTGGGCTAAGGCTGAATAGCTACTTTCAGTTAGCCTGATCAGCATGTCTATGTCCCTTACTGGTCAAGTACAGAAGTACAGATGACGACTGACAGAACCCTTTCTACGATGGAACTTTCCTGTACGACTGAGAGCCTCCACAAGCACAACTTATTTTATTATGCCTGCCCCCTTCATATTTCAAGACTGATTTAATAAGGTTTTTTCATCATTTAACCTGACAAACCAAAATTTGATGTGGTGCTCCTAAAGGCGAGAAGGAGTTATGCTGTTGGGGAGGAAAATTATGCTGGATCAGTTTGGGGTATATAGGGTACAGGATGGTGTATCAGTTAGAATACAGGAGGCAGGTATCTTGAAGTAAGGCTCTATACTAGGTGGTAGAAGGCAGGTTTGGGAGATGGAAGACAGATTGTAGGTTGACTCAAGGTGGGTTTGGAAACGGAATACAGAAGGTAATGGTCAGAGGTGGAAGGCAGGGGCAGAAGGCAAGGGCAGAAGGCATATGTAGAAGTGCAGATGGCAAGGCCAGAGGTGCAGATGCAGATGCAGAGTTTTTTGGTCATGAACTCTGCCAACTTACGAACTTAAACCGAACGACCTTGGGCGAGGACACCACGACACCACCAACCTGTGCACTCTTCCTGAATACTAAACTGCTTTTGCGCAGGGAACGCAGCGTCATCATATGTAGTTTAACACTCGCGAAAGAGGAGGCAGCACGGTAACACAGGGAAATTACAACACTTAGAATGCTTCAACAATTCAATGTCTCTGAGCCTTTAATACATATGCAGTCATTTCTCCTAAATCACAATTAATTTTCTACACTCTCGGGAGTGACCCCCTATTCTCGCTACACCTGTAAATTATAATGCGTTTTAGGTTCATCCTGAAATTTCACAGCCAAATATCCTGAACTTTTTTCTCAGTGGTAGTCAGTTTATTAAAGTGCTGTCAGTGTGGTCTGGTCGCAAACAAGACAGAATAATCATTGTACAGGTTTAATACTGTCCTATTAGCCTTAAGTTTAGGTGGTACCTTTTCTTTCTCAAATCTGAATGAAGAAGGGTGGTATGCAGGAATTGACCAGCTGTAAGGATAGTCATCAGTGTGGTTTGAGGCGATGCCTGCAGACAAATACAGCACAACCATTGTCCCCAATATTCAATTGCAAACAGAAACGACAAAGCAGATTGTCAAAAAATGCAGCAAATGAGAAGAACATGAGCAAACGCATGCAGTTTGTCTTAAGTCAATTTACCTGGGTGAAAAACTTTTCCTACAGACATGGTAACATAACCTTGTGATTTAAAATACTGTGGAAGAGTGGTGTAGTTTCCAGAATGCACTCTCCAGTAGGATTTAAAATCATAAAGCCTGGTTGTATCTGGTCTGCGACTTGTTAACATGGATGTTCGACTCGGTGCACACACAGCTTGCTGCAAACAACAACAATCATAAAAACATTCAAACGTGCAAGCAAATTCCTACAGTGTATGTGTTTGCAGTCTAACATTTATTAAAATACCCAAGTTGGCTAACCTGTGCAAATGCATTGAGAAAAACATGGCTTTTGGAAGCCAGTTGGTCAATGTTTGGCGATTTTACTGTTACATCTCCATAACAGCCCAAAGATGTCCTCAAGTCGTCAGCAACGATGAAAAGAACATTTCGTCTATCTGCGAAAAAAAAAAAAAAAAAAAAAAAAAAAAAAAAAAAAAAGAGAAAACAGTTTCACCAACATAAAATAAATACATGGAAATGTTGAACTTGAAAATAGAGAGGAAGTGAGAAATCTCTGCGAGCGAACTGGAGTCCACACAAACGCTCATATACTGTATTTTATAACAACTTGATCCAGCGACAAAGTGGATAACAAGCATCTAATTATCACAAATCACTGCTAAATTAGATTATACACTTGACTCAAAGTATTTTTTCAAATGACACTGAGCTATTCTTCTTCATGCTAACATTTGTTCATTAATATTATAGGATATAACGCTGAAAAGTTTGAAGGGTTACCTTGTCTCGCAACGACAACAAGCGCGTGAAGAACGACGATAAAACATTTATGGAAAGTAATGTACATGTTGCTATGACGTCCAACTGACACATTTAGCCATCTAGATGAAGTTGGCGTTACACAGATAAGGTATCACACATCCGTAGCTTCAGTCGGGGTAAACATCATCATATGAAATACACATCTGCGCTCTTCCTATTTAAAAACTTCCGATTAGCGTCTGAATTCTGTATCTTCATTGGTCAACTCTGATTTAAGACCACCCACAGACGAAAAGCATTGGCGATTGGCTAAAAAAAGGTGTCAATCATACTAACACGCGTCGTTGCCAAGTGATTGGTTGAGTGGCTATAAATTTTCCAAATTTGTAATGACGGAAATATGGACAGTTGCGATGAATATGTACTTTGATGTGCAGTAAAACAGTTGAGTTAATCCAAAGGAATGAACAAATCAACTGAATCAAATGGAATTGTCACACTGGTCATATCGAAATCTCCTTCAAATTGTGTGTGTCTTTGAATGAATTAGAATGGGAGGACATTACTTGACGAATCATGTGATCTTGACAGGTCTTTTAACGACCTGTGCTTATCTACATATTCAGGTTTGAGGGTACAAATTGTAAAACCAAAATCTGAATTGTGTATATTTTTGGGTGGGCAATAATAACTTATAATGACATGTTTTTTTTAAATAAATGCAGAACAAAAAAACATTACAGATGCGCGCTATTTCCTGTCAACGATCCTCTCAACCAGAACCAATTTGCCGGCTTTGTTCTGAGTACAGAGTGAACGCTCTTTTCGTCATAAACAATCTTTGAAGAAGCGGCGTCAAACATGGCGGATATTTCAACTAAACGTGAAAATAATTCCGAAGCATCCGATGACTTTTCTGAAAGAACCAAGAAGACAAAAGTAGACAACGAAGATGGTCGAGGAGAGAATAGAGAGCAAGCTGAAAAAAATGTTCTTTCTACCTTTCAAACCACAACCGTGTTGAGTGATTCTGCCAGGGAGAAAACAATCTTCGTCCACGGAAAGGTAGATATGATTATTTAGCTCCTAACCTCTTTTCGATACCGCACATTCTTGACGCGATTGAGTTTAGTGTTGGCGATGGTTTAATTTGTATTCGAACGAGAGTGAGAAATTCTGGTTTTGATGTCGACCTCCGGTTTGATCATTTATAACTAGACTGTTACGTTTTCTGGCGGGATTAAACAGGTTTCATTAGATAAATGGATTATTCTATTATTATTTATTTTTATTTGACTCACAACGTAAAGAGAGGCTTAATATGAAGGGGGGTCAGCCTGAGAGTGGCCATTAAATACAATTGTTTAAAAAAAGAAAAGAAAAACAATAGTATTCTTTCTCTACATTTATGTTTGGGTTGTTTACATGCTCATCAGTTTGCTGACCAAAATGCTGTAGTCATTCTGGAGAAGACTCCCATCAGAGAAGACACCCTGTCTGAAATATTCACTGCATCGACCTTAAAACTCGATATAAAGAATGACATCTACAGCACCTACCGGCTCCAAGCTCCACCTCACCTTAACGGTACGGATACGACTTTTCCATCAAATACAATAACCCACCTGTGAAGAAGAAAAGCCGCACTTGTCGATTTGTCTTCTTCAGAGATGAAGGCAACTGTGGTGTGTCCAGCCACTGAGAAGCATGTGACGAAATACCAGCGTCAGGAGAGTGTCCTGGTGGAGGAGACAGCGGAGGACTACCAATCCATCACTCTTCCCTTCATCCAAAAGCAGAGTTTTAGTGTGCAGGTTAGTGAGCCAGGAAAAGGGTCGACACTTCAATCCTGTGCTGATGTTGTTCTTGACATCACATTCATTCCCTAGTGGGTATATAACATCCTCGAGAAGAAGGCTGAGTCTGAGCGGATAGTGTTTGAAGATCCACACCCAAAGCTTGGTTTTGTCCTCCTCCCAGATTTCAAATGGGACCAGAAACAGGTGAAACATGCATGATACATACAGCCATGGAAAAAATTTAAGACACGACCATGTTTTTTTTTTTCAAGTTCTTGTTCATTTTTATGTCTGGTGCCACTGAAAACAATTACTTTGTTGCTTGTTTCAGCTGGAGAATTTGTACCTAATTGCCATCACACATCACAGAAACATCAAAAGTCTGAGAGATCTGACATCAGAGCACTTACCACTCCTTCAAAACATTTTCCAGAAAGGAAAGGTGACACCACACTTTATTTAAGCACTTTGGAACTAATATTAATATAATGGCACCAATCTGATTATGTGCTCTGTGCCGTTAGGAGGCCATCCTGCAGCACTACAGCCTCCCAGCCAGCAAGCTGAGAGTCTACTTGCACTACCAGCCATCTTACTACCACCTTCATGTCCACTTCACCAAGCTTGGCTACGATGCGCCAGGTTGTGGCGTGGAGCGCGCCCACCTCCTCACAGATGTCATCCAGAACCTTCACTCAGACCCACACTACTATAAAACCAGGACTTTGTCATTTCCTCTGCGGGCAGATGATGGATTGTTCAGCCATTTTCAGGAAGCGGGGAAGTTATAATGCGCCACCTGTGGGTGACAAGTTGCTTTGCTGTCCATTTTTGTACTTGAATCAAGTGATTTTTCTGACTATGAAACTCATTCCAGGGTCTTCCGCAGTTGTAATTTTAAAACCGGTAGCTCGCAGGTGAGTGTGTACATTTTGGCTGCAAAAAATATGTAGGAGTTTTTGTGGGCATTTGTCATGTTACAATGTAAATCATTGAATAAATGGCGTATGTGCCTGTTTTCCATTGGTGCAGTTTCTAAACAGTCAGGTCCTATAAAATTACATGAATGCTGACGATCTTTGGCACATAAATTGTTCTGAATGACTAATGATGTATCTTTTCTGTTTTGCTTAAGTACTGTATGCAGTAAAAGCAAGTTTAGTCTTCAAGTCATACAATCTTTTTCTTCAAGTGTCAAAGCGGACTTCTTGACATCTCATTACTGACATTCACGTGAGCTGCATAACAATATTGGCATTCTTTAGTAGAGTTTACACTAAGTTGTCATTTACCCATATCATTTGCTTCATAACTTGTATATTTATAAAATCTATGTCAATAATGTTCACAATTCAAAGTGGCATTTGTGGCAGTAGGTCACGTTTGTTTGTATAATAATGAATCAAGCAGCAGTATGATATTAACACAAAATTAACTTCTGAGAGCACAATTTACTTCTTAGAAAATGGAACTGTAATCATTTTTGAGGCAATTTCTTCATTGAGGTACAAACATTTGATGAGTGGGGAACTCGCTGCTGGACTTGCTTACCAACAGACCACAGACTGTCAGGATCAACCACTTCGTCCATCTCCTACATACAATGTACAAAAAGCGGGGGAGAGATGTACATACTTTATAGAGAAATAATGTAAATATGTGCAATTCAAGCCACGTGTCTTCATTTTGCTACATCTGCACCCTTACAACCCTTTTAATTGTGAGCAAGCGTTCTCTTTGTTATTCATTTGATCTTATTTTATAGTTCTGTTTGGTCTCATTTGTTGTGTCACCCCCCTCCCCCCCGCCACACACACACACGTCTTGAGGCTTACTGGGATAAAGTGGGACAACGGCGAACATATTTCGTGCCATATTATGAGGAAATGTGTGATGTGGTATAACAAAAATGTACTTGGTTTGTCGAAAAGTAAATTATGCTCCCGAAAATCAACACTAGGCGGCAGTGTTGGGGTCAAAATGTAACATTCACAGCGTAAATTTGTTCAGGAATCTGTTCTATATTCCATTATGAAATAATTAAATTTTATAAACAATTACACATTTTCACTTAAAAACATTTTATTTTCTACTAAATCAATCAAACAATACCCATCCATCCATTTTCTGTACCATCAGGGTCGCGCCTCGCCTTATGTGAATTGTGAATATATGGCATTATTTTTGGTTTTGAAGTGATTTGGTCTAATTTATAAATCGATGCATTCATGTGTTGCCGTGTCACAAGACGCGCCCCCACCACAATTTTGTACCCGTCAGCAATTGGATCCTTGGAACACGGCAAATCACAAAAGTTCAGACTTTCCTAAACTCAGAACTGCAAAATATACTGCATATATTCGATTTCCTAGATTACGATAATCGGTGATAGTGCATATGCTATAAACATTATTTTAGTAGTAAAATTAACTTGTGTCATATCCGTTCTTTATTTTACTTGCATCTGTTACTGTCCATGTAGAAATGTTCCATGTTATGAATTATACCAAGTGCTGCGATATGTTTTCAAATGTAATCAATTTAAAAGCGATGATGTGATCAGAAAAAGTATAGGTTATCGAAAAAAGGCAAGTACTTTGTGGAGGCGGGAAATTTCCGAGGTGTCCCTGAATGTACCGTGGGAGAGCCGAGGAAACTGGGCAGGACTGAGACAAATAATCCAATCATTAGTCCACCAACAGCGTTGATGTCTTGGTTTCACTCACGGAGAGATGATTTCACTCTGAGGCCGTTTGAGATCCAGGGAACACCGTAAGTGGTTTTTTTTTTTGTTTTGTTTTTATACACTTTGAACGCAGCTTTTTGGCTGTGTGTGTGTGTGTGTGTGTGTGTGTGTGTGTGTGTGTGTGTGTGTGTGTGCGCGCGCGCGCGTGTGCGTGCGTGCGTGTGTGATGGTATCTGACTTTGCTTTAGGCGCAGATGTCGAGTTTGTAGGCTGCGGGCAGTAGTGACTGATGATCGATACATGCGGTCCAGTAAGTGCTTTGTTGAAGTTAGTATTTCAGTCAGGAGCTGTGTTATCATTACGTTTAAAAAGGTCCTCCGTAGAGCATTTAATTCTACTTTTAAGCGTTTTTTGTCCATGCAACATTTCCAATTAACAATGCGTGTTTTTTGGTTTGTTTTGTATTTCTAAGGCATATTTGTAACTATTATTTTTGTTGATCGGTATGGAGGAACCCCCCTTCCATTTTTGTGATGGCATCTTGTCATAGCTCCTGCTCTTACGTGTATGAAAAAGTAGAGTGACAATTTTTGACAGAGACAAGTCAAGGGCGCTTCAGATTAAGCAGTTATCTTTAACTGTGATGGAACCACTGTAATCCTAAACACAGACGGAGGTATCTGTTGCTTTGTGCGTGGGTGCGCGCGCGCGCGCTTGAGTGCGTACGTACGTATGCATCTATGT